GTGGTCAAATTACGGCCAAGATACTTTGTGGATTTCAAGGATGCAGCCAATCTTGAAGCAGACAGTCTACCAGTTCTGTAAAGAGAATCACATTAGTGTGTAGTCATAACGTGAACACAACTGCTGTAATCCCTCTGCAAACACAAAGGATACGTGCTGAAAAGCATTTACTTCTTGTTTACTCATTTGTTTGTCAAAATCAAACATCCTCAGAATTAATTTATCACATGACATAATGCTTAATGATGTCATTTGATAGAAGCGCTATGTAAACACATCGTAAACTTACTTAGGTGCACCAGCTTGACGTGCTGTTCTCATGTCCATTGCAATTGATGAACGAGATGATTGCAGAGAGTACGGTTCCTTAACCGACTCACATCAGCGCTTATACGGTACGCATTTCTTTCATCAGTCGTGTCAATTTTACGAAGCTCTTCTGTGAGTTCTGCTCTCTGCAATTCTGATGTCACAGAGCGGCCAGACGTCGGTCGAAATCCCATGGAACTCCTAGGAAGTAATTAATATTAATTACATACAGCAACTTTCATTAACTTTAAACAAGAATAAAAATAATTGGATGGTACATTATAAAACTTCCTTCCATCTTTACATGTATTCTCAAATGTAAATAGACTTCTGTAATAGATTCTACCCTTAGAGGCAAACATTGCTTAGATTATTATCAATTCTTTCGAAGGATTGACACATTTTTGGATGTGGGATAAAACTTTGATCATAAATGTTAACAATCAAAGCAGTGTTTAGAAAATCATTCATTAGGTTAGAAACCAATTACAAAAGTGAAAGAGCATTAGAGACAACATTTACATTTGAAGTTCTATTGTAAAGATTTCAATTCACCTTGTTCATGCATTACCGGGGGTATGTCCAATAATGCACCTGGTAAATTTAGTTACCCGATATTTTTCCCTAATTCAAGAAATAACTGATTCTTTAAAAAGAAGACAGTTTTCATTTTAGCTAAGAGGGAGTTTTAAGCTACTATAATTGAACTAAATCCATTAATGTTCTACAGTACTACTGTAATGCAATGAACAACTGAGTTACCTTGTTTCCATATATTTATACATTACCCACAATGCCATGGGTGTAGTCCTATGATTGACAGGGTCCAATTCACTTACCTTGTTCTGAATTGTAAATCTCGTAAATAAAATGACATATCGCCGCCAGGCTGGGCATGAAGGTCCATCGCTTCTTCATCATCAACATTCTTCAAAAATTTCAAGAAAGTTTTGTCGTAATGGCTGGAGTAACTTTCCAGGTCTGATCCTGGACCCTAAAGAGATACAAAATGATCTGATGATCAGTTCAAATGAGGTAATGTCATTGTCATGAATAATGATAGCAATGTACAGTAAAATACTATATTTTAGCTGGAACCTGCATATCAAGTTCGCAAGTATTTCAAAAATTTGTCATATATCACATGTACACCACAGGGAAATATGACATCATTAACGAGAATTAGTATATGCTGATATATGCCCTCAGTGTGCCAAGTATTCCCACTTGCTTCAAAACTCAACTATAGAGGGTGCTGTTTGAACTGTGTGTTGCCATCAGCAACAGGACGTATCTAATTACTGAGCACACTTTTTTTCATTATTAGTCCCCATTCAGACGAAGTCCAAAAATGGGGACTTATAATTCGGTCTCCGTCTGTCCGTCTGTGCGTCCGTCCGGAGTCATATCTCAGAATCCCTTGGATATTGCATGTGCATATGTCCCAGATAAAGTACTAGGCAGTGGTTTAGCGATTCGATTCAAAATGCCGACTGGCAGCCATCTTGTTTTTTGAAAATGTTGTATTTTGGACATGCTTTGTCAGTTTTCATTCAAATTTGGTACATAGATTATACATGTTAGGATACATGTCCATGATGATTTATTTCACAATTGGATCAAAGATGGCCGACTGGCAGCCATCTTGTTTTATGAAAATGTTGTATTTTGGACGTGCTTTGTCAGTTTTCATTCAAATTTAGTACATCGATCATACATGTTAGGATACATGTCCCTGACTGTCCGTGAGTTCCTGAGTCTGTCCGTCCGTCCGTTCGTGTGTCAGTCTGTCAATAGTAATATTTCAGAATCCTGTGGGCTGATTCTGTTCATTCTTTGCATGTGCCTAGTACCTTATGTGGGACATATGCACATGCAGTGGTTTAGCGATTCGATTCAAAATGGCCGACTGGCAGCCATCTTGTTTTTTAAAAATGTTGTATTTTGGACATGCTTTGTCAGTTGTCATTCAAACTTGGTACGTAGATTATACATGTTAGGTTACATGTCCATGGCAATTTATTTCGCAATTGGATCAAAGATGGACGACTGGCAGGCATCTTGTTTTTTTTTTATGCGGTATTTTGGAAGTGCTCTGTCAGTTTTCATTAAAATTTGGCACATACATGTACTTTATACATGTTAGGATGCATGTCCATGACAATTTGTTTCAAAATCTGTTCAAGGATGGCCGATTGAAAGCAATCTGACTTTTTGGCCTTACTACTATATTTCTACAATTTATGTACCATTTTCATTCGTATTTGGCACATACATCATACATATCAGTATGTTTCATAATCGGATCAAAGATGGCCAAATAACGGCTGTTTTTATTTTTGACTATATTACTACTACACGGAACACGTGTTTTGATGTAAATAAACAATCTGTTGTATACGCCACTTGGAACTCAAGTTTCAAGGACACGCTCGCGACAATCCCCCCCGCTTTAATATGATGAGCACAAAGAGAACTTTCAAAAATTTAAGGGGGACTGTGTCATTTTCAATGACTTGTTTATTTATTGATTGTTGTACCAGTAATTCTTGTGGTTTGAACAAATCACCATGAATCATGAATTATGAATTATGAGTAAATGTTCATCAATTATGGTTAGACTAATTTTGAAAAGATGTTTTTCTTGTATATTTTTTTTTATATTATGTAACAGATTTAATATACTCTCAGTAATTACACAGAATGAGTGTTTTTAGAAAGTTTGAAATATGACTACCAGGAATATCTTCTCAACCTGGTAAGCTGATACTTGGCGTGTAAAACATAACATACACAGTGTGTAAAACAACCATATTTTTCTTGTATGTTAATTGAGAGATATTGTCATTCAGTTTTAAATTCCCTTCATGAATGCTCCATTAGCCAGCCTATAACTGTTGGTGGTTATTCATGAGGACGGTTTCCTCAATATTTCACAAGCTGAAAGGATATCTTACAATGTACACATAGTAACCATGGTGACGTCCCATGTTATACTATACTGTGCTTCACATGTATAATGAAACTTTGTCAGTCATGGTTGCCAAGCAACCAGTGAAACAGGACTGCTTATTATGTCTGAAAACTGTCACCTTACATGTAAGATAAGGAATCTGAAGGACAATGAGTAACTTTAATATAGTTTATTACAAGAATATTTTATGTACAAAACTAGTAGCTTCGCAATGTTTGGCTTTCGCGATGTTTGACATTCGTGGTTACAAGAATACTTTAGGTACAAAAGCAGTTTGGTGATCGGATGTACCGGCACGATTCTGTAATTTTATCAAATGTATATTTTGCAGTACCTCTCCAGTGTGTAGTTAATGTAATTTTGTGAGATACAGTATTATCAAAATGCCAGCCGAAATTATTTTTGGCTGTGCAATCATTTGCATTCATCAAGTGCTACAATATTGTTACTACATCCAATGTAAACATTCTTAAGGACAGCATTTGAATGTGACGTAATTGTGACGCA